CGAAGTAGGGCTTGCATATTTCCATGCATTCTCAAACTGAGAACCTAAAAGCTCATTCTTACCTGTTGTTTCCCCAGAGAAAATGTTGGTGGGCAACTGTCCAGTTGGCATGAAAAGATTATCATGGAGTCATTTTACAATCTATTTGCACAAATATATTCAGAATATTGAGTGCAGAGAAAAGGATTATTATGAACAATTCTCTTTCCCATAGTCAAAGTTCCCCAGCTGCATGTTTGGTAGGGGTCCCAAAGAAACTGCTATGAAAGCTATCAATATTGCTTTGATGTAGACATCCTCTAATTTATAATCCCTACTATCAATAAATACTGTCTCTTCCCATTTTTATTGATGGCAGAAGTAATAGATAGTAGATTATGCCTCCTCTGGTTGGCTACTGGTTCTTTTTCAGTATAAGCCAAATATAGCAGGAGTTCTCAATGATTATTTAAATTTTATAACCATCAAGCAGAATGATAAGTGAAGTGCATGGAACACTAAGCAATATTTTGTCAGAGGGCCGGGGGGATGGCTCAATGGGATAAGTCCTTCCCTGACAAGCGCAAGGGCCTGAGTTCAATCCCCGGTTCTGAATAAATAAATAAATAAATAAATAAATAAATAAATAAATAAATAAATTTTTGTCAGGAACAAAACGTAAGCCTGCAACTTGAGAAAAATTAAATATTGAAAGGGCCTCTCTTTAATTCCTTCTTTATTCTCAAATGTTTCACTCATTCATTTGTTTATTTAAAAGATATTGAGCACCAAGTAATACTAGGCACTAAATAGATAATAGGGATTTAGGATACAGGGGATGAAGAGTAATATATGAATTTTATTTATTGATTTGTTTTCCATGTAACACTTATGCTTAAACTTTCTTCAAGAAGATACCAGGCTGGCCTGAGAAATGATAAAATATGAGAAATACACTTGTGAGTTCCATTTGTGCATTATGAATGCCTTACCCCTTTCTTGGGGTTTAATCCCTAGTACTTAAAAAAAAAAAAAAAAGGCTGGGGTGAGGATAAAAGAAGCTTTCATTTTTGTACCTAGTATTGAGGTTGCCTGCATGCCACCATCACCCTGGGGCTAACCACGGGCCATGCTTATGCAGAGTTCCAAGTGTCTTGTCAGCAGTAAGGCCCCATGAGAGGGTTGCTCTCATTAACCCAACCTTAAATGTGAGGAAATGAGTTTGAAAAGGTGGAGTAGCTTCCCACAAGTCATACAGCTGGCAAGTGTCACAGAATTCTATTTCAGGTCTGATTGTCTCTGGAGAGCTTCATCACTGATGAGTATTTTTAAATAGGTCACATCCCATTAATGGATCATGAAAATCATTTAGTGACTTGTGTTATCCTTTCAAGTAAGCAAGATAGAATAGCAGTGATCTCTTGGCACAAAAACAGACACACAGATCAATGGAACGGAACATAGGATGCAGAAACAACCTCAGGCACATTCCATTATCTAATCTTTGACAACGGGACCAAAAACACATTGGAAAAAAGATAACTTCTTTAACAAATGATGCTGGATATAGATTGAATCTATATCCCTATCTCTCACCATATACTAAGCTAAAATCAAAGTAGATAAAAGTCCTAAATATTTTAAAAGAAACAATCTACTGGAAAACAAAATAGGTGAAATTCTAAACGACATAGGTAGGTGCAAGGACTTTCAGAACAGAACTCCAATTTCACGAGAAATAAACCATATAAAACTTTAAAGTTTCTTGTCAGAAAATAGCCAAAAGAAACAATCTACAGAATTAGAAAAAAAAATGCCAGCTATTCCCCAGATAGAGGACTAATATACAGAATATATAATCAATTCAAAAAATTAGGCACCCCCAAAAAATAAAATACCCAATCCAAAGTGGGCAACTCAAATGAATAGAAACTTTTCAGAAGTACAAATGTCCAACAAATAAATGGAAAAAATTTCAACATCTCTGGACATTAGAGAAATGCAAATTAAAAAATACTATAATTCTTATTATGGAAAGAATGGCCATCATCAAGAAACAAAATAATAATGAATGCTTGCAAGGCTACAGGGGGAAAAGGAACCCTTCTGCATGCTGGAGGGAATGTTAACTATTACAATCACTATGGAAATCAGTATGGAGATTCCATAAAACACTAAAACTAGAAAATCCATTCAGTCCACTCCAAGGTCAATTCCTATTTATCTTTCCAATGAGTTAAAGACATCATATTACAGTCTTACATGCATATCCACATTTATAGCACAATATCTTATAATACCTAAATCTTGGAAGCAGTTAATATTTTCATCAGTAGATGAATGAATGAAGAAAATGTGGTATTTATACACAGTGGAGTACTACTGTACCATAAAGGATAAACTAAATGAATCATTTGCATGAAAATGGATATACCTTGAGACAATAATATTGTCATAAACCAGACAAATAAGCATAACTGTCACATGATTTCTCTTACATGAGGAACCCAAAATCAAAATAAATAGCAAGAATAAGTGAGAATAAGAAAAAGAAAGGGAGATCTTTAAGAAAAGAAAAGGGACCAAGGAATGGAAGGGGAAGGAAGGGAAAGGAAAGGAAAAGGATGAAAAAGATAATTAAAATGAGTTACATGCAGGTACTAATTCCTCATAAAGAATGTAATCATTATATACTTCAAACATGTACCAATAAAAAATAGCAGTGATCAGATGTAATCCCAGGCAGTAACAGGTAAGTAATATTTCAAGAGGTTTTTTTCACTGAGGTTTTCAGTGGGGGAGACATGAGGATGGATGTGTAAGTGTGGGGGAATGTCTTGTGCTGGAATATGTACATGGATGTAGATGGAAGGATGGTTGGGTGGGTAAGTATATGCTTATGTTGGCTTATGACACATAATTTATTCCTGTGTCTTATTGTGTTTAAAATTTCAAACTTGCCATCCTGAGGTATACTGTCTATCCCTCATTCATGTTCCACATACCAAAGAACAATTTGTTTTTAAAACTCTGCTTTCTGTGCAAATTACTACAAGCAAGAAGTTGATGGGGGCTGGGGAGACGACTCAGTAGAATAAGTACTTGCCTGGCAAGCACAAGGGGCTGAGTTCAATCCCCATTTCCACAATAAAAAAAAGAAGTTGAGATTTTAAAGTCTATAGTTCAAGACAGCTCTCTGTGTGAACAACCTTAATAAGGCAGTACCCACAGCCATACAGCAAAAAAATCTTCCTAAAATAGTTACAAACTTGACTAGTCTTATGCTTAGTTGCTGATAGTAAATCATTCATTTGCCACTGCAGCAACACAGAGAAAATATATTTTTTTTTGTAAGAATCAAAAAGCAGTGGATAGAAAGCATGTTAGACCTGCATTCTGCATTGCTCTCCTTAGTCAGGAAAGGCCTAGAAGTTGCCTCAGTGCCTTTTCCTGTGATGTCCCACAACATCAGCCTAACCCCAGGGAAGATAAGCTGCTCCGCCTACATGTGTTTGCAGGATCTTCAGGGTCCCCGGGACTAAAGGATTAAAATTCAAATAATCTTTAATGATATCACAAAAGTATAACAAGCACTTGTAATTCAGATACAGTTTTGGAGCCAAACTAAAACTTATGTTCTTTGACAATGCCTCATTTGTCAATCCAAGGAGACCAGCAGGCTTTAGGAGATTCTCTTCGGCAGAGGGTGTTCACTACGTGGCAGAAGTTGTTCAAGGGCCCAGGGTACACAGGGGCATTTTCTTAAGAACCAGAGTAGAACACCTCCATGTTCAAGGCTTCCATTCCCCATTTTTACCCAGAGATCATAATACCAATTGGTATGGTTGCCATTAACCTTCAATACAACCAAAAGTTACTTATCACAAAGGAGATCATGCCACCACAAAGGTTTGTTTCTCTCCCTGCACTGACCCAAAGACATTCCCATGTTAGAAACACTCAGCTGACATTCTCTCACTTCCTTCAGTGATACACAGAGCCCACAGTACCAGTGCTTTTTCTGTCCTCTCCTTCATCAACTTTTTTCAGGGTTCCACCTGCACTCCTTAAAATACACTCTTCCATAATTTTACTCCTCTCTTTATTTTCTAGAAAGTACTCTCTCAAGAATCTGGAAATGTTTATCTACCCTATTCATAGATACAGTACTTTTTGCAATTGCTCATTATATTTTCTTTCTGTGCCTTATATTCAGCATGGCACTGGTTCAGGCCACGTTGTCTTTGTGTAATATTCCCTGCATGAGAAAGTTATTTTCAACTTATCTTCATGGGAGACTTATGTTCTCTGAATGCAGGTTCCAGAGTCAATCGATATTCTCATAGCACGGTGGTTATGAGTGGGGATCTGGAGTCAGAGCACTGAGTTTAATCCATCCTATATCACACCAACTCCAGGAAAGGTGTTTAACTTCCATTATCCAGAAGCATGAAGAACACTGTTACCTAAGGGTAGCTTGGGCTAAGATAACTGCTGTGCAACATGCCTGGCAAAAACTGCACACTCAGTGAGTGTTAGTGATTGCTGCTTAGTACAGTCTCCTCTTATTTTAAAGGATTTAGTGTTCCTTTATAACCCATATTTAAACAGTCCTACATGCATATATTTTATAAGCCACTTTACATCCTTCTTGTAAGAAAATTACAGAGCAAATAAATAGATCTATATGATCCTACTCACTTGTGGTTTTGCCTTTTTGTTTGCAAAAGTGGCCCAAGCCTTGATGTCTTGCAAAAGTAAAGAAATACCTTGGCTTTTTTTTTTCTATTATCTTGACAAACTGTAATTTCAAAATGAACCTCACTCTCATTCTTGGTGTGCCTGGTGTCAGGTCTGATAGTAGGCATTTCAAATGTTATAATTCCAAATATTATTCAAAGTGACAAGAAAGACCCAACTCATAGGGCTCCTATGAAAATTAAAAGGGACAACATGGAAAGGGTTATCCATATCCATATCGGTTTCTTTTGCCTAAGGTTTCTGTCTACTCTTTCAAATAGATCTTGCCCTGACTGAAAGCAGTATCCTCATTCCCTTGTGCCAAAAAGGATACTTTCCCTGTGGGAATCTTACCAAGTGCCTGCCGCGGGCTTTTCACTGCGATGGCATGGATGACTGCGGGAATGGTGCCGATGAGAAGAACTGCGGTAAGTCCCCAACTCTGCTCCCCACCACCCACCCCTCTGTACCAGCTCCACAGAGTTGTGGGTCAGAGGAAGTAGCAAGGATGATCTGGTGCTTTATAGGGAATCCCTTTGTAATGAAAAACTCTCCAATCTCTTAGTGATAATGACAAATTTTCATATATTGATCTTGCTTAAATCAGAAATATGTCTTGTCAAGTGTTATATTTCATCAAATTATATTTTTTTAACTTGAGTGAATATTCATTTATTAATTGAAAGGAGCTTCCTACGACTACCTTGAATGGTGTGCAATTTGGTTAAGGTGTAAGAAGAGCCAAACAAGTGTGAATGAGCTCACTTAAGAATTAATTGGACAAGGGCCAGCCAAACAGCTCAGTGGATTAAAGCAACTGCTTAGGCAGATGTGAGGTCCGGGACATCAATCCCCAGGCCCGCCATGCTGGCCCCACCCTCAGGGCACACTGAGACAGCGATTGAGACTGGGTGTGGTAGCGCACGCCTGTAAGAGCACTTGGGAGGTTGAACACAGGTGGATCGCTACAAGTCCGATCTAGTAGTGAGACCCTGTAGACCCTGTCCTAAAAATACAAAAAAAAAAAAAAAAAAAAAAAAAAAAAAAAAAAAAAAAAAGAAAAGAAAAGAAAAGAAAAGAAAAGAAAAGAAAAGAAAAGAAAGAAAGAAAAAAGAATTAATTGAACAGACATATGGTATGTGCCAACTATGTGCCAGGAGCTTCCTCAAATCATTAGAACACACTAGGCTCAAGAGAGACAATGTTCTTGACCTTATAGAATTCACACAGACAATATGAACTAAGAAGACTCCAATTCTGTATCTAAATATGTCAGACCCTCTCCGGGTGATAGGGACATGGAGAAGATAAAGCAGAAAAATAAGATGGAAAATGGCTTGGAAGGAGGGACAATTTTAGAAGATAAGCAGAAAAAACCTTTTTAAAATGATGACATTTGAGCTAAGAACCAAATGAAAAAATTAATAAATAAAAGATATGCAGGAGGATTTTAGGCAAAGGAAACAGCAAGGGCAAAGGCCATGAGACTGATTGAATAATACATTTGAAAGATTGAAAAAAAACAGTATGGCTTCAGTAAATAATGATATAAATAGAAAGCTAAGAGGTAATTACAGGTCAAATTACATATAGTAAGACAAGCCAATTTTGTGTCTCTATATTGAGACTGTACATATTCTCTTATTTTTATGTGGAAGGAATGGGATCCAGAGAAGTTTAAATGTCTAGTGGATCACAGATTAGACCCTAAAAACCAAATTTCCTGAATAAGAAAGAATCCTACAAATTTCTGACCACACAAGACTTTCTGTCTTTGGCATTGCCCAGGCAGAAATCAGAGCAGCGCAACAACACGTAGGTGTGCCAGGCATGTGTCTGATATCAGCTCTTCTGGCCCTGGGTACTCATGCATGACTCCCTGGAATGGGAATAATCTGTCCACTTTCCTGTGTGCCTGCTTATCCTTAAGATCCTGTTCAGGTGTCCCTTCCTTCAGGAGGGCTTCCTGGCCATGCTGGTAGATCATCAGTCTAGAATGGTGTTGCCCCAGCAACCTGGGTGCACATCTACTATCACACCACATAGACTACCTTAGCTTTTCAATGTGTTTCTTTTCCTAGCGATGAACATCTTGAGAACTTCAAAAAGAGCCTGGCATCCTCTTTGTCCTGTTCCCATCAGAGCCTGGAGTGGCAGAGTACACAGCAGACAATGTTTTCAATTCTGTGAATTTAGTGAATAAGCCACTCAAAGATATCTCTTCTTTGCTGCTTGGGAATCAATGACCATGAGGATGTTATGAACCCAAATTAAGTCCCACTGTGGAGGAGCTTATAACACGAGGTCATCACAGTGGAATCATTGAGGGTATAAATGAGGAATAAAAATAAAGGTTTTAAAGACCAAAGGAGCCTGTTGGCAATTATTTAAGTTCTTTGGTCTGTGTGAACTTCAGTATTTTACATCATAGTACAAACATAATTTTCATAGCATATGCCCAAGTAATGGTGCTTCAAAGGTACACACACACACACACACACACACACACACACACACACACGATTTCTCAAGAAAAGGGAACTTGGCAAACAAGGAGACCAATAGATACTGTGAAAGGGAAAGAAACTGTTCAAAGAAAAAGAATAACTTGGATGAGGAAAAGAGGAAAGAGAGAGAGAGAGAGAGAGAGAGAGAGAGAGAGAGAGAGAGAGAGAGAGAGAGAGAGAGA